TAATGCTCGCTCTCTCTGCAATCGAAAAAGGCGCGCGGATATTCTCGCGGCAATTGACACAATCGACGCAGATCTTGTTTGCATTAATGAGACCTGGTTGTCTCCCGACGTTGGAGACAACGAAATTATGCCGTCAGATTACGTTGTTTTTCGTAATGATAGGAGAAGTGGTCGCCGTGCTGCCGGCGGAACCCTTATTGCCGCGCGCCCCGAGTTGCACCCCCGCCGCCTCCAACACCTTGAGGCAGGCGCGGAAGTAGTCTGGCTGGAAGTAAACATGGACAAATTAAAAATCTTGGTCGGCTCTGTATACAGAAGGCCAAACGCGACCGCTGCATACAATGACGAGCTAATAAATTCACTCGAACGGGTTGCTGAAGTAAAGCACGACTTTGACAGCGTCATTCTCACGGGCGATTTTAATCTGGACGTTAATTGGACGCATGACCCGCCAGTCGCCGGACTCGCACCCGCAGCAGAGTTTTTGGATATTTTTGACGACCTCTCATTGACACAATTTATTAAAGACGCAACGCGCACAACAGACTCCACATCAAAAATTCTTGACCTCGCCCTTTGTGACGCTGAGGGGTTAATTTCAAGGGCGGAAGTCACCCCTGGTGTGAGTGACCATGATGCAATTGTGCTTGAGTTAACTGTTCGGCGAGAAAAGCCCCGACGCGCCCGCCGAGAATATTTTGACTTTAAAAAAGTGGATTGGAATGAGCTTGGAGTTGAACTTTTCAGAAAATTGGAAAATCTGGAATTTAATTTCTGCTCAGTGAGTAAAGCTTGGGAGAAATGGCAGCAAATGTTTTTTGTTACCCTCGCCGAAATCGTTCCAAAGAAAATTGCCCGCCCGAAGAAACGAAAATGCACACCATGGCTCACAAAAGAGGTCAGCTCGCTTATGAGCAAACGAGACAAAATGTATGCAGCCTGGCGAAAAACAAAATCAGCTTTCTCACGTCTCGAGTTTGAAAAAGCGAGAAAATCTGTGCAGAAGGCAGTTCGACTGGCACGCGATAAGTGGATGTGGGATCTGGGCCGTGGACCAGGCGGAAATAAATTTTTCTGGAACTACGTGAAGGAGAAGAGTAAAGTTTCGCCTGCAGCCGCAGTGTTTGAAATTGATGGCGAGAAAGTGTCGAAGCCCGAGTTAGTCGCCTCCGCGTTCAGCCGTGCGTTTCTCAAGAATTTCAATACTGTGCAAAACTATTTCCCATTCGTGCGCCGATCACCTGCCAGCGCGGCGGCCCCAGTGTTAAGTGATTTCTCTGTTAGCGCAGCGAGTGTGTGCTCCCATCTGCGGCAAATAAAAACAAATGCAGCGACCGGCCCCGACAACGTGCCCGCGATTGTGCTGAATAAGTGTGCCGCCTCACTCGCCCCCAGCCTCGCTCGAATTTTCAATCTTTCCCTTCGGCAGGGTGCACTTCCAGAGGGGTGGAAAACGGCCGCAGTCACTCCTATTTTTAAGAGTGGGAAAAAGTGCTGCCTGGACAATTATCGCCCCATAAGTGTAACTTCATTAGTCGGAAAAATATTAGAAAGGTGCGTGCGAGACAGGGTTGAAAATTTTATAAACGAGAGCAAAATTATTCCCGACTGCCAACATGGGTTCAGGCAAAAAAGGTCATGCACCACACTTTTGTGCAAGACCTTTGACAGTTGGGCCTGCAGGCTGGACGAAAGAAGCGGGACGCACGTCCACGCCATCTTCTTGGACTGGGCCAAAGCCTTCGACCGCGTCCCGCATGACCGTCTGCTGTCCAAACTCGCCCACTATGGCGTCGGCGGCAACCTCCTAAATTGGCTGAAAAGTTTTTTGACCGACCGCAGCCAGTTCGTCGTGTATGGAGGAGCAAAATCAGAACCTGAAAGTGTCCTGTCCGGAGTCATCCAGGGCCGAACACGGGTTGCTGTCGGTGCAGCAGCAGCTTAAGTTTAATGACTTGATGTTTTTCAAGAAATGCACCAGTGGCGAGACTGACATGGACGCAAAGGCGAGAATCACCACCGGCCGAGTGATGAGAAATAGTGGCGGCGAGCACCGTTTAATTCTCCCAAAAGTGCGCACAGAGCTCGGTCGACAAAGTTTTTCTTTCCGAGTCGCGGATCAGTGGAATTCCCTGCCTTCTGCGTTAAAAAATTGTACGGTTCCTGAGTTTAAAATTGCATGCAAAATATATGTAACCCTTTGAATTTTTTTTTTCCCCACTTACGGCTCCAGTTCGGCGAGTAGGTTTAAGTTGGAAACACTTTTGCTTCCAAATTGAGCCTACGAGTTTTAGTAAGTTGTTTACTAGAGCTGGCTGCCAATTCTCTCCCAATGTGATTTTTTAATTTTCTGTTTGACTTGTTGCGAGAGAATAAATGAATTGAAATTGAAATTGAAAATAAAACTTGATCAACTTCGAAGCATTGAAGAGACATCAATTAAGAGACATTTAAGAATGTTTAAATCGTCCCAAAAAATTAAAAAAATTCCAACTGAATTATTTTTACAAACCAACAAATGACGAGCGACTCGTTCCGAGCTTCCAGGCTTTCTAGTCGGGACTTCATGGAGTGTATGGGCACCAGGTGCCTCCTCTCATTGAAGGGCAGCGTGCAGGACGCCCTGCAGAAGGATGGTGCCACTGAAGACTGTGCTTGACTGTGCTGGTGCTTGACGAGGCTACAACAGTCTTCAGCGGAGATGCATGCACAGGAGGCGGCCTGGCATCGCCTGGAAAATTAAAGGCCATTGAGCAACTTAAGAGAGTCATAGGGTATCAATTAAAACTAATTCTGAATGAATAAATCAGCTGGTTATTTTTAATTTTTTTAAAATTTCCAAAAAATGAAATGTAATTTATAAATAAAATGATTTAAATTTAATTAAATTTTATTTTTATGAAATTTTAAAAAACGGGATTAATTTTACAAATATTTTATACATAAAATTAATATGAATTAGTTAATACAATTAGTTAATGAATTAATATAAATAAAAATAATTTTTTTTATATTTGAGAATTAAAAAAAAAAAATTATTGTCACCAGCTGGTGAATTCAAGAGCTAAATTAACTAGCGGGTGATGTTTTTATTATTTATTTTTTTTTTAAATTTTTGTAAAATGAAAATTAATGTATAAATTATAAATAAAATTAGTTTAATTTAATTAAATTTTAGTTCTTATTATTAAAAAAAGGGGGAATTTTATAATTATTTTATAAATAAAATTAATTTTAATTAATTAAATTGAAATTTTTTTTCATTTGTAAATTAAAAAAAAAAACAATTGGCACTAGCTGGTGAATCCACCAGCTAAATCCACCAGCTGGTGATGTTTTTTTTTAAATTTATAAAAATTGAAATTTAATTTAAAAATAAAAATCATTAATATTAATTAAATTTAAGTTTTAAAAAATGGGATTAATTTTATAAATAAAATTTATATTAATAAATTAAATTCAACTTTTTTAAATAAGGAATATTAAAAAAAAAAAAATATTCACCAGCTGTTGATGTTTTTTTTTTAAATTTTAAAAATCGCAATATAAATCATAAATAAAACTAATATAAATATAAAAATTTAATTATTAAAAAATTTAGAAAAAAAATTAAATTTATAAATGTTTAATAAATAAAATTAATGTTAATATACTAAATTTAAATTTGTTTAAATTTGTAAATTTAAAAAAAAAAAATAATTGTCACCAGCTGGAGAATTCACAGGCTCAATTCATAAGCTGATGAGGTTTTTTTTTAATTATCAAAAATTGAAGTATAATTTATAAATAAAATTTATTTAAAATAATTAAATTTTAATTGTTAAAAAACAATAAAAGGGATTAATATTATAAAAATAAACTTAATACTAATTAATTAAATTAAATTTTTTTTAATTAAAAAACTTAAAAAAAATTATAGTCACCAGCTGGTAAATTCACCAGCTCAATTAACCATTAGAATTAAAACGCTCAATTTACCAACTGAATTTAGCTGGTGAATTAAGCTGGTTAATTAAGGTGGTGAATTCACCAGCTAAATACACCAGCAGGGGTTGTTTTTTTATTTTTTTAAAATTTTTAAAAAATGAAATATATTTTATCAATAAATTTTTTTTTAAAATATTTAAATTTTAATTTTTAAAAAAGGGATCAATTTTATAAAAATTTTATAAATAAAATTAATATTAATGACTTCAATTAAATTTATAAAAAAATATAATTTAATTTATAGTTAAATTATTTTAATTATATTACATTCTAATTTTAAAAAAATTTGAAAAAAGGGATAAATTTTATAAATATTTTAGAAATAAAATTAATATTCATTAATTTAATTCTAATTTTTTTAAATTTGAAAATATTTAAAAAAAAAATGGCACCAGCTGGTGAATTCAATTGGTGAATTCACCAGCTGAATCCACCAGCTGGTGATGTTTTTTTTTAAATTTATAAAAATTTAAATTTTATTTAAAAATAAAATTAATTAATTTTAATTAAATTTAAGTTTTAAAAAATTTAAGAAATGGGATTAATTTTATAAATAAAATTAATATTAATAGATTAAATTAAACTTCTTTCCAAAAAATTAATAAAAAAATCCAACTGAATTAATCTGACATACCTGCCGATTACGAGTGACTCTCTGCGAGCTGCCAGACTTTCTGGGCTGATTTTGCCGAGTATTTGAGCACCAGTGGCCTCCATTCATTCAAAGGCAGGGAGCAGGACGCCCTGATAAAGGTTGCTGCCACTTGAAGACTCTGCTGGAGTCTCCGATGCTAAAATCGTCGTGCACCGACCGGCCGCAAATGGGCGGACTGGCCTCTCCTGGCAAAAAAAAAATGGCCATTGAGATGAAAATAAAACTTGATCAACTTCGAAGCATTGAAGAGACATCAATTAAGAGACATTTAAGAATGTTTAAATCGTCCCAAAAAATTAAAAAAATTCCAACTGAATTATTTTTACAAACCAACAAATGACGAGCGACTCGTTCCGAGCTTCCAGGCTTTCTAGTCGGGACTTCATGGAGTGAATGGGCACCAGGTGCCTCCTCTCATTGAAGGGCAGCGTGCAGGACACCCTGCAGAAGGATGGTGCCACTGAAGACTGTGCTTGACTGTGCTGGTGCTTGACGAGGCTACAACAGTCTTCAGCGGAGATGCATGCACAGGAGGCGGCCTGGCATCGCCTGGAAAATTAAAGGCCATTGAGCAACTTAAGAGAGTCATAGGGTATCAATTAAAACTAATTCTGAATGAATAAATCAGCTGGTTATTTTTAATTTTTTTAAAATTTCCAAAAAATGAAATGTAATTTATAAATAAAATGATTTAAATTTAATTAAATTTTATTTTTATAAAATTTTAAAAAACGGGATTAATTTTACAAATATTTTATACATAAAATTAATATGAATTAGTTAATACAATTAGTTAATGAATTAATATAAATAAAAATAAATTTTTTTTATATTTGAGAATTAAAAAAAAAATTATTGTCACCAGCTGGTGAATTCAAGAGCTAAATTAACTAGCGGGTGATGTTTTTTTTATTTATTTTTTTTTTAAATTTTTGTAAAATGAAAATTAATGTATAAATTATAAATAAATTAGTTTAATTTAATTAAATTTTAGTTCTTATAATTAAAAAAAGGGGGAATTTTATAATTATTTTATAAATAAAATTAATTTTAATAAATTAAATTGAAATTTTTTTTCATATGTAAATTAAAAAAAAAAACAATTGGCACTAGCTGGTGAATCCACCAGCTAAATCCACCAGCTGGTGATGTTTTTTTTAAATTTATAAAAATTTAAATTTTATTTAAAAATAAAATTAATTAATTTTAATTAAATTTAGGTTTTAAAAAATTTAAGAAATGGGATTAATTTTATAAATAAAATTAATATTAATAGATTAAATTAAACTTCTTCCGAAAAAATTAATAAAAAAATCCAACTGAATTAATCTGACATACCTGCCGATGACGAGTGACTCGCTGCGAGCTGCCAGACTTTCTGGGCTGATTTTGCCGAGTATTTGAGCACCAGTGGCCTCCATTCATTCAAAGGCAGGGAGCAGGACGCCCTGATAAAGGTTGCTGCCACTTGAAGACTCTGCTGGAGTCTCCGATGCTAAAATCGTCGTGCACCGACCGGCCGCAAATGGGCGGACTGGCCTCTCCTGGCAAAAAAAAAAAATGGCCATTGAGATGAAAATAAAACTTGATCAACTTCGAAGCATTGAAGAGACATCAATTAAGAGACATTTAAGAATGTTTAAATCGTCCCAAAAAATTAAAAAAATTCCAACTGAATTATTTTTACAAACCAACAAATGACGAGCGACTCGTTCCGAGCTTCCAGGCTTTCTAGTCGGGACTTCATGAAGTGTATGGGCACCAGGTGCCTCCTCTCATTGAAGGGCAGCGTGCAGGACGCCCTGCAGAAGGATGGTGCCACTGAAGACTGTGCTTGACTGTTCTGGTGCTTGACGAGGCTACAACAGTCTTCAGCGGAGATGCATGCACAGGAGGCGGCCTGGCATCGCCTGGAAAATTAAAGGCCATTGAGCAACTTAAGAGAGTCATAGGGTATCAATTAAAACTAATTCTGAATGAATAAATCAGCTGGTTATTTTTAATTTTCTTAAAATTTCCAAAAAATGAAATGTAAAATGATTTAAATTTAATTTAATTTTATTTTTATAAAATTTTAAAAAACGGGATTAATTTTATAAATATTTTATACATAAAATTAATATGAATTAGTTAATACAATTAGTTAATGAATTAATATAAAAAAAATAAATTTTTTTATATAGAATTAAAAAAAAAAATTATTGTCATCAGCTGGTGAATTCAAGAGCTAAATTAACTAGCGGGTGATGTTTTTTTTATTTATTTTTTTTTTAAATTTTAGTAAAATGAAAATTAATGTATAAATTATAAATAAAATTAGTTTAATTTAATTAAATTTTAGTTCTTATAATTAAAAAAGGGAGGAATTTTATAATTATTTTATAAATAAAATTAATTTTAATAAATTAAATTGAAATTTTTTTCATTTGTAAATTAAAAAAAAAAAAACAATTGGCACTAGCTGGTGAATCCACCAGCTAAATCCACCAGCTGGTGATGTTTTTTTTTAAGTTTATAAAATTTGAAATTTAATTTAAAAATAAAAATCATTAATATTAATTAAATTTAAGTTTTAAAAAATGGGATTAATTTTATAAATAAAATTTATATTAATAAATTAAATTCAACTTTTTTAAATAAGAAATATTAAAAAAAAAATATTCACCAGCTGGTGATGTTTTTTTTTTAAATTTTAAATATAAATCATAAATAAAACTAATATAAATATAAAAAATTAATTTTACAAAAAATTTAGAAAAAAAATTAAATTTATAAATGTTTTATAAATAAAATTAATGTTAATATACTAAATTAAAATTTGTTTAAATTTGTAAAATTAAAAAAAAAATAATTGTCACCAGCTGGAGAATTCACCAGCACAATTCACCATTTGAATTAAAAAGCTCAATTTACCAGCTCAATTCACCAGCTGGTGAATTAAGCTGGTGAGGTTTTTTTTATTTTTTATAATTATTAAAAATTGAAATTTAATTTATAAATAAATTAATTTAAATTAATTAACTTTTAATTTTTAATTCGAAATTTAAAAAAAAAATAATTGTCACCAGCTGGTGAATTCACAGGCTCAATTCACAAGCTGATGAGGTTTTTTTTTTAATTATCAAAAATTGAAGTATAATTTATAAATAAAATTTATTTAAAATAATTAAATTTTAATTGTTAAAAAACAATAAAAGGGATTAATATTATATAAATAAACTTAATACTAATTAATTAAATTAAATTTTTTTTATTAAAAAACTTAAAAAAAATTATAGTCACCAGCTGGTGAATTCACCAGCTCAATTAACCATTAGAATTAAAACGCTCAATTTACCAACTGAATTTAGCTGGTGAATCAAGCTGGTTAATTAAGGTGGTGAATTCACCAGCTAAATACACCAGCAAGGGATGTTTTTTAATTTTTTTAAAATTTTAAAAAATGAAATATATTTTATCAATCAATTTTTTTTTAAAATATATAAATTTTAATTTTTAAAAAAGGGATCAATTTTAAAAATAAAATTAATATTAATGACTTCAATTAAATTTATAAAAAAATATAATTTAATTTATAGTTAAATTATTTTAATTATATAACATTCTAATTTTAAAAAAATTTGAAAAAAGAGATAAATTTTATAAATATTTTAGAAATAAAATTAATATTCATTAATTTTATTCTAATTTTTTTAAATTTGAAAATTTTTAAAAAAAAATTGGCACCAGCTGGTGAATTCAATTGTTGAATTCACCAGCTGAATCCACCAGCTGGTGATGTTTTTTTTTAAATTTATAAAAATTTAAATTTTATTTAAAAATAAAATTAATTAATTTTAATTAAATTTAGGTTTTAAAAAATTTAAGAAAGTGGATTAATTTTATAAATAAAATTAATATTTATAGATTAAATTAAACTTCTTCCCAAAAAATTAATAAAAAAATCCAAATGAATTAATCTGACATACCTGCCGATTACGAGTGACTCGCTGCGAGCTGCCAGACTTTCTGAGCTGATTTTGCAGAGTATTTAAGCACCAGTGGCCTCCAGTCATTCAAGGGCACGGAGCAGGACGCCCTGATAAAGGTTGCCGCCACTTGAAGACTCTGCTGGAGTCTCCGATGCTAAAATCGTCGTGCACCGACCGGCCGCAAATGGGTGGACTGGCCTCTCCTGGCAAAAAAAAAATGGCCATTGAGATGAAAATAAAACTTGATCAACTTCGAAGCATTGAAGAGACATCAATTAAGAGACATTTAAGAATGTTTAAATCGTCCCAAAAAATTAAAAAAATTCCAACTGAATTATTTTTACAAACCAACAAATGGCGAGCGACTCGTTCCGAGCTTCCAGGCTTTCTAGTCGGGACTTTATGGAGTGAATGGGCACCAGGTGCCTCCTCTCATTGAAGGGCAGTGTGCAGGACGCCCTGCAGAAGGATGGTGCCACTGAAGACTGTGCTTGACTGTGCTGGTGCTTGACGAGGCTACAACAGTCTTCAGCGGAATTGCATGCACAGGAGGCGGCCTGGCATCGCCTGGAAAATTAAAGGCCATTGAGCAACTTAAGAGAGTCATAGGGTATCAATTAAAACTAATTCTGAATGAATAAATCAGCTGGTTATTTTTAATTTTTTTAAAATTTCCAAAAAATGAAATGTAATTTATAAATAAAATGATTTAAATTTAATTAAATTTTATTTTTATAAAATTTTAAAAAACGGGATTAATTTTACAAATATATTATACATAAAATTAATATGTATTAGTTAATACAATTAGTTAATGAATTAATATAAATAAAAATAAATTTTTTTATATTTGAGAATTAAAAAAAAAATTATTGTCACCAGCTGGTGAATTCAAGAGCTAAATTAACTAGCGGGTGATGTTTTTTTTTATTTTATTTTTTTTTTAAATTTTTGTAAAATGAAAATTAATGTATAAATTATAAATAACATTAGTTTAATTTAATTAAATTTTAGTTCTTATAATTAAAAAAAGGGGAATTTTATAATTATTTTATAAATAAAATTAATTTTAATAAATTAAATTGAAATTTTTTTTCATTTGTAAATTAAAAAAAAAAACAATTGGCACTAGCTGGTGAATCCACCAGCTAAATCCACCAGCTGGTGATGTTTTTTTTTAAATTTATAAAAATTGATATTTAATTTAAAAATAAAAATCATTTATATTAATTAAATTTAAGTTTTAAAAAATGGGATTAATTTTATAAATAAAATTTATATTAATAAATTAAATTCAACTTTTTTAAATAAGGAATATTAAACAAAAAAATATTCACCAGCTGGTGATGTTTTTTTTTTAAATTTTAAATATAAATCATAAATAAAACTAATATAAATATAAAAAATTAATTTTTAAAAAATTTAGAAAAAAAATTAAATTTATAAATAAAATTAATGTTAATATACTAAATTAAAATTTGTTTAAATTTGTAAATTTAAAAAAAAAATAATTGTCACCAGCTGGAGAATTCACCAGCACAATTCACCATTTGAATTAAAAAGCTCAATTTACCAGCTCAATTCACCAGCTGGTGAATTAAGCTGGTGAGGTTTTTTTTATTTTTTATAATTATTAAAAATTGAAATTTAATTTATAAATAAATTAATTTAAATTAATTAACTTTTAATTTTTAATTCGAAATTTAAAAAAAAAATAATTGTCACCAGCTGGTGAATTCACAGGCTCAATTTACAAGCTGATGAGGTTTTTTTTTTAATTATCAAAAATTGAAGTATAATTTATAAATAAAATTTATTTAAAATAATTAAATTTTAATTGTTAAAAAACAATAAAAGGGATTAATATTATATAAATAAACTTAATACTAATTAATTAAATTAAATTTTTTTTATTAAAAAACTTAAAAAAAATTATAGTCACCAGCTGGTGAATTCACCAGCTCAATTAACCATTAGAATTAAAACGCTCAATTTACCAACTGAATTTAGCTGGTGAATCAAGCTGGTTAATTAAGGTGGTGAATTCACCAGCTAAAAACACCAGCAAGGGATGTTTTTTAATTTTTTTAAAATTTTAAAAAATGAAATATATTTTATCAATCAATTTTTTTTTAAAATATATAAATTTTAATTTTTAAAAAAGGGATCAATTTTAAAAATAAAATTAATATTAATGACTTCAATTAAATTTATAAAAAAATATAATTTAATTTATAGTTAAATTATTTTAATTATATAACATTCTAATTTTAAAAAAATTTGAAAAAAGAGATAAATTTTATAAATATTTTAGAAATTAAATTAATATTCATTAATTTTATTCTAATTTTTTTAAATTTGAAAATTTTTAAAAAAAAAATTGGCACCAGCTGGTGAATTCAATTGTTGAATTCACCAGCTGAATCCACCAGCTGGTGATGTTTTTTTTTAAATTTATAAAAATTTAAATTTTATTTAAAAATAAAATTAATTAATTTTAATTAAATTTAGGTTTTAAAAAATTTAAGAAAGTGGATTAATTTTATAAATAAAATTAATATTTATAGATTAAATTAAACTTCTTCCCAAAAAATTAATAAAAAAATCCAAATGAATTAATCTGACATACCTGCCGATTACGAGTGACTCGCTGCGAGCTGCCAGACTTTCTGGGCTGATTTTGCAGAGTATTTAAGCACCAGTGGCCTCCAGTCATTCAAGGGCACGGAGCAGGACGCCCTGATAAAGGTTGCCGCCACTTGAAGACTCTGCTGGAGTCTCCGATGCTAAAATCGTCGTGCACCGACCGGCCGCAAATGGGTGGACTGGCCTCTCCTGGCAAAAAAAAAATGGCCATTGAGATGAAAATAAAACTTGATCAACTTCGAAGCATTGAAGAGACATCAATTAAAGGAGTGCTGACCCCTCGCTTTGACTTTAATTCCTGATTCAATTAAGGGTCCTGATTAAAACCTGAAAAGGGCGGCCGAAAATTCGGCGTTTTCGTTGAGAAATCTCAAAATGAAATTCGGCTGATTGGACTTTTTTTGCGCTTGGTCGCCATCTTGGTCCAACAATCGAAAATGTGAAATTGTTGTTTGCAATTTGGATGGCCGTGACCTGAGCCACGTAAGGTCAAGAAAATACCATGAAAAATAATTGAAAATGAATAAAATTTTGTGAAATCAAAGCTAAAGAGTTGCTTGAAATGACCCCTTAATTGAAATTATTAAATTATTTAGCACACATGAGATATAAAAGGGTTTGCTAAAAGTACTGCCATTTGAAAACTAATTTTTTTAGAAGCAAAAACTTAATGGGAAATTTGTAGCAAATAAAACGCGCCTTCTTTTTGTAACAGTACAAAGTACTGCACAAATTTTTCTTATTTAAGAAAAAATGAAAAATCCAAAAAAAATTACATTTTAGGTTAAAGGAAATTTTTTAATATTTTTTTCGAAGTAGCCAATCGATTCAGCATGTCTTTTTTAGTCAAGGTCTAAATTTTCGCAAATAAATTCATGACAGTTAAAAAGTAACATCAAAATATTCAATGACAACTCTTTCATCTTAAAACAGGGCACGACCCGTTAGAAATTTTTTGATGTTACTTTTTAACTGTCATGAATTTATTTGCGAAAATTTAGACCTTGACTAAAAAAGACATGCTGAATCGATTGGCTATTTCGAAAAAAATATTAAAAAATTTCCTTTAACCTAAAATGTAATTTTTTTTGGATTTTTCATTTTTTCTTAAATAAGAAAAATTTGTGCAGTACTTTGTACTGTTACAAAAAGAAGGCGCGTTTTATTTGCTACAAATTTCCCATTAAGTTTTTGCTTCTAAAAAAATTAGTTTTCAAATGGCAGTACTTTTAGCAAACCCTTTTATATCTCATGTGTGCTAAATAATTTAATAATTTCAATTAAGGGGTCATTTCAAGCAACTCTTTAGCTTTGATTTCACAAAATTTTATTCATTTTCAATTATTTTTCATGGTATTTTCTTGACCTTACGTGGCTCAGGTCACGGCCATCCAAATTGCAAACAACAATTTCACATTTTCGATTGTTGGACCAAGATGGCGACCAAGCGCAAAAAAAGTCCAATCAGCCGAATTTCATTTTGAGATTTCTCAACGAAAACGCCGAATTTTCGGCCGCCCTTTTCAGGTTTTAATCAGGACCCTTAATTGAATCAGGAATTAAAGTCAAAGCGAGGGGTCAGCACTCCTTTAAGAGACATTTAAGAATGTTTAAATCGTCCCAAAAAATTAAAAAAATTCCAACTGAATTATTTTTACAAACCAACAAATGGCGAGCGACTCGTTCCGAGCTTCCAGGCTTTCTAGTCGGGACTTTATGGAGTGAATGGGCACCAGGTGCCTCCTCTCATTGAAGGGCAGTGTGCAGGACGCCCTGCAGAAGGATGGTGCCACTGAAGACTGTGCTTGACTGTGCTGGTGCTTGACGAGGCTACAACAGTCTTCAGCGGAATTGCATGCACAGGAGGCGGCCTGGCATCGCCTGGAAAATTAAAGGCCATTGAGCAACTTAAGAGAGTCATAGGGTATCAATTAAAACTAATTCTGAATGAATAAATCAGCTGGTTATTTTTAATTTTTTTAAAATTTCCAAAAAATGAAATGTAATTTATAAATAAAATGATTTAAATTTAATTAAATTTTATTTTTATAAAATTTTAAAAAACGGGATTAATTTTACAAATATATTATACATAAAATTAATATGTATTAGTTAATACAATTAGTTAATGAATTAATATAAATAAAAATAAATTTTTTTATATTTGAGAATTAAAAAAAAAATTATTGTCACCAGCTGGTGAATTCAAGAGCTAAATTAACTAGCGGGTGATGTTTTTTTTTATTTTATTTTTTTTTTAAATTTTTGTAAAATGAAAATTAATGTATAAATTATAAATAACATTAGTTTAATTTAATTAAATTTTAGTTCTTATAATTAAAAAAAGGGGAATTTTATAATTATTTTATAAATAAAATTAATTTTAATAAATTAAATTGAAATTTTTTTTCATTTGTAAATTAAAAAAAAAAACAATTGGCACTAGCTGGTGAATCCACCAGCTAAATCCACCAGCTGGTGATGTTTTTTTTTAAATTTATAAAAATTGAAATTTAATTTAAAAATAAAAATCATTAATATTAATTAAATTTAAGTTTTAAAAAATGGGATTAATTTTATAAATAAAATTTATATTAATAAATTAAATTCAACTTTTTTAAAAGGGATCAATTTTATAAAAATTTTATAAATAAAATTAATATTAATGACTTCAATTAAATTTATAAAAAAATATAATTTAATTTATAGTTAAATTATTTTAATTATATAACATTCTAATTTTAAAAAAATTTGAAAAAAGGGATAAATTTTATAAATATTTTAGAAATAAAATTAATATTCATTAATTTAATTCTAATTTTTTTAAATTTGAAAATTTTTAAAAAAAAATTGGCACCAGCTGGTGAATTCAATTGGTGAATTCACCAGCTGAATCCACCAGCTGGTGATGTTTTTTTTTTAAATTTATAAAAATTTAAATTTTATTTAAAAATAAAAGCTTATTTACAGCCAAAATTAAAAGCATCTGCAGTTACAGACGAGCTGCTATCGACAATCAAGTTTATTAGAAATTTTCAAAATTTAATTATAGCTGGTGATTTTAATTGCCGGTTAGATACAAAAAATGATAAGATAGAATCTCTTTTAGACTTCATGCAACAAAATAATTTGGCATTGACAAATTTATACCCGTACAACAAAACATATGAATGCCACAATGGTTCAAGTACAATTGATTTAATCTTTCAAGGCCCAGCAATGAGAACTTTCGGTTTTCAAATTTTAGAGAGTTTTGTTAGAAAACATAAAATTGTTAGTGTTAATTTTAAATTCAATCCGGTAAAAATGTCTCAGAAGAATGTAAAATATAAAATTGATGAACAACTAATGGAGGAGATGTTAGATCTAAAATTTAGAGAAATTCTGAGACAAGATTTAGAAAAGAACGATGTGGAAAGTTTTTATCGGAATGTAAAAAACATTTTGGATGCTTCAAATACTGCCCCTAAGAGCTACGAAAGAAAAAGTCAGCCATGGTATAATGCTGAATGTTACAATTTGAAGGACCAACTAATGGAAAGTAAATATGAGTTAGATTTTTGGGAATCATTAAAGTTTCATGGGGTGGAAGACATGTGTAGAAGTTTAAAGGCAAAATTTTTTGAATTAAAAAGAGAATATCGTCAGTTATGTATTCATAGGAAAAAATATTATTTTCAGAGATACGAGGAAAAAATGTTAAGAGAGGCTGAGGAAAATTGTTTTAAAGAAATTTTAAAAAAGAAGCACTTGGAATCAAATGAGTCACTAAACTTGAATAGACTTCTTCTTAATTACGAAGCTCAGAATATTCAATTCACACCGATTATGCAGGAGGAAGTCACTTTAGCCCTGAAAAGAATGAAAAACGGAAAATCACCAGGGCCGGATAATATTCGAAATGAGAATTTAAAATGTCTTTTGCAATTTATCCTACCGGAGGTAACGAAATTTTTGAATCTGTGTTTAAAATATGATATGCCAGCAGATTGGCGTGTCTCAAATTTAAAGCTACTCTATAAGGGCAAGGGGGATTGCGAAAATATGAATAATTATAGAGGGATTAGTTTAAGTCCAGTGTTTTATAATCTTTTAGATAGAGTACTACACAATAGACTTTATTCGAACCTGATTGAATATATTCCAGAGAACCAATACGGATTTGTAAAAGGCAAATCGACGGGTCAAGCTATTCATGCCTTGTTAGAGGATATTAATTTAAAAGTTTACGAGCAGAAATCATCTTTGTATGCCTTGTTTTTAGATTTAAGGAAAGCTTTTGATTCAGTAAATAGAGAGTGCATTTTTAAGAAATTAGTTGATTGTAATAAATTATCATATGTTGAACTATCCTTCTTAGCAAAAGCATTAGATCCGAATTATTTAAAAATTGTGGATGGCGTTTCAGAATCTAATTTATTAACTCAGTCGAATGGAGTGAGGCAAGGTGGCTGCACCTCCCCGCTATTTTTCAATATTTCTATTGCAGATATCCAAAAGCTGGTTAAAAAGTATACAAACATAAAAGCAATTTTTTATGCAGATGATATTGTTTTTACGTGTATTAATTTAGTAGATTTAAAATCACTCCTGGCAGATTTAAAAATGTACCTCATGGAGCGCGGCCTTGAATTAAATGTCGGAAAATGCAAAATTATGAAGTTTAGAAATGGAGGAAAAGGGAGGTTAAAGAAAGGCGATTCTTTGTTGTTTCAAAATGAGGAAATTGAATTTGTTAATGAGTTTACTTATTTAGGAGTAATTTTTCAGCCCTCAGGGGTGACTTTTAAAAAACATATCGAAAAGCGAGTGAGAGCGGCGTTACTCTCAATGTATAGTGTAAAAGAATTGCGGATGCTTTCGATTGACACAGCATTGAAATTATTTGAGCTGAAATTTGCTCCTATGGCCTCGTATGGTATTGAAGCGATTTGGAAGTATTTAAAAAAGGAAGATTTTGTGAAACTGGAATGTGTAAAGAGTAGGTACTTGAAAAAAGTACTAGGTATGTCAAAATACACGAGATCTCGCTTTGTGTATGAGCTTGTCGATACCGATTTATTTATTTCTGATTTAAAAGAAAAATTTGACCTTCCAGTGAACAATGCATTTGAAACTTTTTGTTATGAACAATTGCTGAAGAAATTGAATATTTGTGATGAATTTTATGGTACGGAGACGATGATTAAAGAAAACTGGAAGGCGGCGCAATTTAAGGATAGACATGTTTTCACCAGATACGCGTGTCATGGTTTTCACTTTTTGTTTTGTACGAACAGTACATATCACTGTGAAGCATTGGAAAATTGTATCTGTAAATTTTGTGGTGGAGTTTGTTCACAGTATCATATAATAGATTGTGTAAAAAAGAAAATGAGTCTGCGTGAAGCAGCAAACTGTAAAGCCAAGTGAATTTCGTCATTTTCGAGGACTTTTAAAGATATCGGTAATGCATTAAATATTCTGGGGATCATGATTTCTGGGTTTTCTACAGATTTCTTAAGCTTTACTTCTTTCACAACCAAATCATTACAGCAAAGATTAGTTTGATTATGTCTAGTCACTCTCCTCGTATCTACAGTATCACTATATTTCTGAAATAGGTTTCGGTTTTGCACTAAGAATTTTATACATTCAAGTATATACAACGATGGCACGGTCATTATATTATATTTGACAAATAATGGTTTACAAGTATCCAACGCTTCATTAGATCGCCAGTAGGGAATACCCGCCATGGCTCTCAACGCTCTTTTCTGTGCTCTAAATACTTTGATTAAATGACTAGAACCCCCCCAAATTACAATCCCATACATTATATGACTCTGAACGTGTGAAAAATAGATCAATTTAAGAATGTTATCTGACACCTTGTATTTTAGTCTAGTGAACACATAACCATTAGAATTAAAACGCTCAATTTACCAACTGAATTTAGCTGGTGAATTAAGCTGGTTAAGGGGCCGGTTTTCGTCCGTCTCTCCTCACACGACTCCTTATTTTATGCAACCGGTGGCGCGATCCCCCGCGGTGAAGGGTTTGGCCTAATAGTTCACTCAAATCGTGTTTGAGTGCACTGCGGTCGAAGAGGGCGATGGGGGTTGAAGGGAGAAGAGAAAAAGTTGAGTTTGAATGAGCACAGCCGCAAAAGGTTCCTCCGCGGTTATTTTCGTCGCACATCACTCAATCTCATCAGTATAGATACTTAAAAAGATTATTGTATATTTATTACTGCTAATCAATAATAATTATAAATATGCTAACCTTAACCTAACAGGCTAACACTATAAGACTTATTCATAATTATAATAGTTTTTTATATCAAAAAATCAATTACTTTTAGTTCTCATGTAATTGAAAAATAAAAATATTAGTTGTTTAGACTTGCTTACTTTAATAAGGAATAAAATGAATCTAAAATTCAGTTAAGTAGAGTAAAGCAATTATTTTATTTATTTATGATTATATCAAAATACGCATATTCTCGGCAAAGGATATGTGCGGGCGAGAAAAAAAATTATCATAAAATTTACATTACATACAATTAATATCATTGAACATCAACTTCCTTTCTTTTTTTGGGTGGAGAATCACCCATAATGTTGGCTTTTCTTTTTTTTTGTCAAAGCTTTCTTTTCCGATTTTTTTTTAATCTCGTCTAATATATATTGAGGCTCCCTTATTTGAAGACCTCTTGATTTCATTGGATCTACAATTTCCGGCAACAAACAATTTTTATAAAATAGAACAAGCTTTGGTTCCATTACATTTTTGTAGAAATCAGTGTCTCGTTCAATGTATTCATATTTTACAAATGGATCTTTTTCAGTATAACAAACAAATAGACATTTCTCTCTTTTACTGTAATGCAACTGACTTTGAATTTGATAGTAGTAGTTGTGTGATTTATCAAAAACAAATTTAGTTACTTCTTTGTTGTTCCCTCGGCCTTTACGTTTTTTATTTTCTATAGTTTCTTTGACAACCTTCCAGAATTTAATTTTTCCGGCCAAAATTCCTTCTTCGGGTGTCATATTTTTTGCACTGAATGCACATTTAATCTCAACAATTGTGTCATTTCCAATTAATCCATCAGGACTTGCTCCCAAAAATTGATAATCTTCACTTAAAAATAAGCCGGCTTTCTCGATCTTCACATTGAGATTTTTTTCCACAATTTCTTTTGCTAAATTTTCACAAACTTTTCCAAACTCTATGCTCTTTATGTGTGACAAATCACTATACAAAATTTGAGAGACTAAATTGCCACAAGGAGTTGTTGATCTCCTTTTACAAACAACGCCATGGTAACTGGCAGTCAATTTTATGCTACGAGCTTGCAACCAGAGCTCGGAATCAGATTGATTTTTTGTGTTTTTTTCTAAATCAGCTATTTCCTCTAGTGACAAATTTTGAGATTCAATCTTAGCAAGACAAGCAGAGTTTAATGCTTCGTCCTCCAATGGAGGTGTTTCCGCATTTGGTTCAGCGCATTTGTGAAGAAATGCACAGACGCGGCTAACGCGGCGCCCACTGTGTGCTTCCTGCTTTCAGATGATTTTTGTGTGCACGCACACATGCTGGCTCAGGGCTGATGCTCACTCGCGTGTGCGCGCTAATTGTGTCTTTGACCAAATTATTCACTGATTATGCACGGTTATTTGCATGAGTTTGGCCTACCTTTTTTTGAAAAAAAAAATCATTTAAATGGCAATGAAATAATTCAGGACGTAGAAATTTTTTAATTAATCATTTTTCTGCCTTCTTCCTAATTTAAAATTATCATATATTTTTTTAAAGTTATCGTTTTAAATTATTGCATTTAAGGATTAATTTTTATTTATTTTGAATAAGTAAGATTGGCAAGATATTTAAAAAATTATATAAGTTTGGGGAAATATTTAATTTTTTATCATCTAAGTGTGGCCTACTAACATAAACTCAAGCAGGCAGGAAAGGACAATATATTTTATCCTACCAAAGAAATTATTTCGTATACCTGCGACCGCCTGCGACTGTTTATTCTTTAACAAAAGGGTCAAGCGACACAACAAATATTTTGGGGGAGGGAAAAGTTCGACCTGCAAACACAAGTGAACGGGTGGCGCTTCATCTCGCTCTCTCTATCAGAAAGAAGTTCTCGCCAGTCGCGCAAAGTCAAGGAAAAGTTGATTTTGTTGTCAGCGTCTAGCGCCCTTAATTTTTGATGAACTCCTTTCATACTTGGTATTTTCATAAAAACAAATATGTGCTCTACATGATGTACTTTACCAAATATACAAAATTATATTACATATTATATTAATGTCGACCTAAAATTTGGTCCCGCTATGATGATGATTGCAAAAAAATTGCACTCTACAAAAAATAATTATGAAGTACAATATCTAGAACACATCTTTAGCTTCATAAAAATGTAAAAAAAACTTTATTCGGCCTACCCAAAATCGAAAAACAAACTTATTACGGAGACGTGTTTTTGGTATGTGAGGAGAGCTGAAAACCGGCCCCTTAATTAAGGTGGTGAATTCACCAGCTAAATACACCAGCAGGGGATGTTTTTTTATTTTTTTAAAATTTTAAAAAATGAAATATATTTTATCAATAAATTTTTTTTTAAAATATATAATTTTTAATTTTTAAAAAAGGGATCAATTTTATAAAAATTTTATAAATAAAATTAATATTAATGACTTCAATTAAATTTATAAAAAAATATAATTTAATTTATAGTTAAATTATTTTAATTATATAACATTCTAATTTTAAAAAATTTTGAAAAAAGGGATAAATTTTATAAATATTTTAGAAATAAAATTAATATTCATTAATTTAATTCTAATTTTTTTAAATTTGAAAATTTTTAAAAAAAATTGGCACCAGCTGGTGAATTCAATTGTTGAATTCACCAGCTGAATCCACCAGCTGGTGATGTTTTTTTTTTAAATTTATAAAAATTTAAATTTTATTTAAAAATAAAATTAATTAATTTTAATTAAATTTAGGTTTTAAAAAATTTAAGAAATGGGATTAATTTTATAAATAAAATTAATATTAATAGATTAAATTAAACTTCTTCCCAAAAAATTAATAAAAAAATCCAAATGAATTAATCTGACATACCTGCCGATTACGAGTGACTCGCTGCGAGCTGCCAGACTTTCTGGGCTGATTTTGCCGAGTATTTGAGCACCAGTGGCCTCCATTCATTCAAAGGCAGGGAGCAGGACGCCCTGATAAAGGTTGCTGCCACTTGAAGACTCTGCTGGAGTCTCCGATGCTAAAATCGTCGTGCACCGACCGGCCGCAAATGGGCGGACTGGCCTCTCCTGGCAAAAAAAAATGGCCATTGAGATGAAAATAAAACTTGATCAACTTCGAAGCATTGAAGAGACATCAATTAAGAGACATTTAAGAATGTTTAAATCGTCCCAAAAAATTAAAAAAATTCCAACTGAATTATTTTTATAAACCAACAAATGGCGAGCGACTCGTTCCGAGCTTCCAGGCTTTCTAGTCGGGACTTCATGGAGTGAATGGGCACCAGGTGCCTCCTCTCATTGAAGGGCAGTGTGCAGGACGCCCTGCAGAAGGATGGTGCCACTGAAGACTGTGCTTGACTGTGCTGGTGCTTGACGAGGCTAAAACAGTATTCAGCGGAATTGCATGCACAGGAGGCGGCCTGGCATCGCCTGGAAAATTAAAGGCCATTGAGCAACTTAAGAGAGTCATAGGGTATCAATTAAAACTAATTCTGAATGAATAAATCAGCTGGTTATTTTTAATTTTTTTAAAATTTCCAAAAAATGAAATGTAATTTATAAATAAAATGATTTAAATTTAATTAAATTTTATTTTTATAAAATTTTAAAAAACGGGATTAATTTTATAAATATTTTATACATAAAATTAATATGAATTAGTTAATACAATTAGTTAATGAATTAATATAAATAAAAATAAATTTTTTTATATTTGAGAATTAAAAAAAAAAATTATTGTCACCAGCTGGTGAATTCAAGAGCTAAATTAACTAGCGGGTGATGTTTTTTTATTTATTTTTTTTTTTAATTTTTGTAAAATGAAAATTAATGTATAAATTATAAATAAAATTAGTTTAATTTAATTAAATTTTAGTTCTTATAATTAAAAAAAGGGGAATTTTATAATTATTTTATAAATAAAATTAATTTTAATAAATTAAATTGAAATTTTTTTTCATTTGTTAATTAAAAAAAAAAAACAATTGGCACTAGCTGGTGAATCCACCAGCTAAATCCACCAGCTGGTGATGTTTTTTTTTAAATTTATAAAAATTGAAATTTAATTTAAAAATAAAAATCATTAATATTAATTAAATTTAAGTTTTAAAAAATTGGATTAATTTTATAAATAAAATTTATATTAATAAATTAAATTCAAGTTTTTTAAATAAGGAATATTAAAAAAAAAAAATATTCACCAGCTAGTGATGTTTTTTTTTTAAATTTTAAAAATCGCAATATAAATCATAAATAAAACTAATATAAATATAAAAATTTAATTTTTAAAAAATTTAGAAAAAAAAATTAAATTTATAAATGTTTTATAAATAAAATTAATGTTAATATACTAAATTTAAATTTGTTTAAATTTGTAAATTTAAAAAAAAAAATAATTGTCACCAGCTGGAGAATTCACCAGCACAATTCACCATTTGAATTAAAAAGCTCAATTTACCAGCTCAATTCACCAGTTGGTGAATTAAGCTGGTGAGGTTTTTTTTATTTTTTATAATTATTAAAAATTGAAATTTAATTTATAAATAAATTAATTTAAATTAATTAACTTTTAATTTTTAATTCGAAATTTAAAAAAAAAATAATTGTCACCAGCTGGTGAATTCACAGGCTCAATTCACAAGCTGATGAGGTTTTTTTTTTAATTATCAAAAATTGAAGTATAATTTATAAATAAAATTTATTTAAAATAATTAAATTTCTATTGTTAAAAAACAATAAAAGGGATTAATATTATATAAATAAACTTAATACTAATTAATTAAATTAAATTTTTTTAATTAAAAAACTTAAAAAAAATTATAGTCACCAGCTGGTGAATTCACCAGCTCAATTAACCATTAGAATTAAAACGCTCAATTTACCAACTGAATTTAGCTTGTGAATTAAGCTGGTTAATTAAGGTGGTGAATTCACCAGCTAAATACACCAGCAGGGGATGTTTTTTTATTTTTTTAAAATTTTAAAAAATGAAATATATTTTATCAATAAAATTTTTTAAAATACCTAAATTTTAATTTTTAAAAAAGGGATCAATTTTATAAAAATTTTATAAATAAAATTAATATTAATGACTTCAATTAAATTTATAAAAAAATATAATTTAATTTATAGTTAAATTATTTTCATTATATAACATTTTAATTTTAAAAAATTTGAAAAAAGGGATAAATTTTATAAATATTTTAGAAATAAAATTAATATTCATTAATTTAATTCTAATTTTTTTAAATTTGAAAATTTTTAAAAAAAAATTGGCACCAGCTGGTGAATTCAATTGTTGAAGTCACCAGCTGAATCCACCAGCTGGTGATGTTTTTTTTTATATTTATAAAAATTTAAATTTTATTTAAAAATAAAATTAATTAATTTTAATTAAATTTAGGTTTTAAAAAATTTAAGAAATGGGATTAATTTTATAAATAAAATTAATATTAATAGATTAAATTAAACTTCTTCCCAAAAAATTAATAAAAAAATCCAAATGAATTAATCTGACATACCTGCCGATTACGAGTGACTCGCTGCGAGCTGCCAGACTTTCTGGGCTGATTTTGCAGAGTATTTAAGCACCAGTGGCCTCCAGTCATTCAAGGGCACGGAGCAGGACGCCCTGATAAAGGTTGCCGCCACTTGAAGACTCTGCTGGAGTCTCCGATGCTAAAATCGTCGTGCACCGACCGGCCGCAAATGGGCGGACTGGCCTCTCCTGGCAAAAAAAAATGGCCATTGAGATGAAAATAAAACTTGATCAACTTCGAAGCATTGAAGAGACATCAATTAAGAGACATTTAAGAATGTTAAAATCGTCCCAAAAAATTAAAAAAATTCCAACTGAATTATTTTTACAAACCAACAAATGGCGAGCGACTCGTTTCGAGCTTCCAGGCTTTCTAGTCGGGACTTCATGGAGTGAATGGGCACCAGGTGCCTCCTCTCATTGAAGGGCAGTGTGCAGGACGCCCTGCAGAAGGATGGTGCCACTGAAGACTGTGCTTGACTGTGCTGGTGCTTGACGAGGCTACAACAGTCTTCAGCGGAGATGCATGCACAGGAGGCGGCCTGGCATCGCCTGGAAAATTAAAGGCCATTGAGCTTAAAAAATTTCATGAGCAACTTAAGAGAGTCATAGGGTATCAATTAAAACTAATTCTGAGTGAATAAATCATCCCCAAAAATTATTAAAAAAATCCGACTGAATTAATTTCACAAACGAGCTAGCGTCCGAACCTCCACCTGCCCTTGTTGTTCTTTTTCCGCCGACGTCGTGCGTACTTGAATGTGAGGCCCACGGCCCTCGGCATGGGCCCATTTCGAGCCCTAACCGCGACACCCCGACCAACGAACTTTTCGCTTGGTCGCTCGAGTGAAAAGTGGGGCGTCGGCGTCTCTCTCTGCGGCCTGCGATGCTTTTTTGTTTGACCCGCGAAGAAGCATCGTGAAGTTAGCCAGAGATCCTAGCCAGTCATCGGAAGTTAGCTAGTTGGCTGGAAATTGGCCACTCGCGTCATTTGGGCGGATGTATCGAATATCGATTCCCGATTTTTTAAAGTGGAGAGCGTAGGGGAGGTGACTTTTTATCGCAACGTTTTACAGTTGACCTTCTAATATTCTTCTCATACACCAAGTCGCAGCAATAAATCGCAGTGTTCTAAAAGAGCACGGAGGAAGGAATATGAGAAGCTAATTTGAAAAACAGTTCCAATGGCCTTAAAAAAATTTTATTTAAAAGTAAATACAACGAAAATTAATCACGTCGAGGGACGCATGGATAAAACGGGTAAAACTAAAAATATTATAAATTCCGTACGCTTATCATGTACATTATTTGCAAATTTTTTACTGCGAATTTTGAACAAAAAAAATATTTAAATTTAATCTACATTCTAAATATGTAAAATAGGCAACTTCACTTTCACGCAATTTCAAATATTAAAAATTAAAACAATAAATTTAAGAAAAATTTTGCGCTAAAACCATGCATTGGAGTAAAATGAAATTATAATCGAAAATAACCTTCATCATCCTGTCTATAAAATCTGCCAGCAATCGATGGCCGCGTAACTGTTTTTTTCAAAAGAAAAAGTTAATGTTATCTTGTATGATTTCTCAAATGCTTTTGGCACTCTTCATCCACCTTTCCTTGTATATAAATTAAAACAGTACGGTCTAAATGAGAACTTGCTCTCGTGGTTGGACTGCTTATTATCAAATAGGAAACAATTTGTACAACTTAAGAACCTTGGCTGTGATGGATACGAGGCGTTTATTAACTCGCAGGGGTGTGCCGCAAGGCACAGTTCTCGGCCCAATTGGGTTTTCCATGTATTTTGTATTTAAATGATATTCCCCTTGCTGTATTCTTGGCCCTCCTGATTTTGTTCGCCGACGACTCAACGGCTGTAGTCAAGGGAGAGTCTTTCCCTGAGGTCAATAATAAAACGGTGGCTGTCAATGAAAGTTTTGTCAGCGTTGCTAATGATAATTTTTTGAGGATTAATTCACAAAAATCAAAGATATTACAAATACACACTAGCCAAACAAAAAAACTAGTTCAACCTGATGTTAAGATTGAAGATAAAAATATTGAAATCTGTAAATCTGGTAAACTTCTGGGAGAACAAATAAATGATACACTAAACTGGAACGACCAGTGTGATAAGGTTGTTAGCAACATGAGAGGAGTCTCTCATGTGTTCACTAGACTGAAATACAAGGTGTCAGATAATATTCTTAAATTGATCTTCTTTGCTCATGTCCAAAGTCATATAATGTATGGAATTGTAATTTGGGGGGGCTCCAGCCATTTAATAAAGGTATTTAGAGCACAGAAAAGAGCGCTGAGAGCTATGGCGGGCATTCCTTACTGGAGATCTAATGAAGCGTTGGATACTTGTAAACCATTATTTGTTAAATATAATATCATGACCGTGCCATCGTTGTATATACTTGAATGTATAAAATTCTTAGTGCAAAACAGAAATCTATTTCGGAAATATAGTGATACTGTAGATACGAGGAGAGTGACTAGACATAATCAGACTAATCTTTGCTGTAACGATTTGGTTGTGAAAGAAGTTAAGCTCAAGAAAACTGTAGAAAACCCAGAAATCATGATCCCCAGAATTTTTAATGCATTACCTAAATCTTTAAAATTCCTTGAAAATGACGAGGCTCTTGTAAAAATGGTGAAAGCTTCTGTATAGGAACATCAATTCTATGACCTGAACGAATTTTATCGTTTAAATAATAATGTATATTGACTTATTTTAAAAAGCTGATATTACTATGTATATTATGTGGTATAAAATGCTTAACAAAATAAACAAATCTTGAATCTTAATAAAAATAATTAAATCATTAATTTTTAAAAGTAAATTAAATTTTTTTAATTAAAAAACTTAAAAAAAATTATAGTCACCAGCTGGTGAATTCACCAGCTCAATTAACCATTAGAATTAAAACGCTCAATTTACCAACTGAATTTAGCTGGTGAATTAAGCTGGTTAATTAAGGTGGTGAATTCACCAGCTAAATACACCAGGAGGGGATGTTTTTTTATTTTTTTAAAATTTTAAAAAATGAAATATATTTTATCAATAAATTTTTTTTAAAATATTTAAATTTTAATTTTTAAAAAAGGGATCAATTTTATAAAAATTTTATAAATAAAATTAATATTAATGACTTCAATTAAATTTATAAAAAAATATAATTTAATTTATAGTTAAATTATTTTAATTATATAACATTCTAATTTTAAAAAAATTTGAAAAAAGGGATAAATTTTATAAATATTTTAGAAATAAAATTAATATTCATTAATTTAATTCTAATTTTTTTAAATTTGAAAATTTTTAAAAAAAAATTGGCACCAGCTGGTGAATTCAATTGGTGAATTCACCAGCTGAATCCACCAGCTGGTGATGTTTTTTTTTTAAATTTATAAAAATTTAAATTTTATTTAAAAATAAAAGCTTATTTACAGCCAAAATTAAAAGCATCTGCAGTTACAGACGAGCTGCTATCGACAATCAAGTTTATTAGAAATTTTCAAAATTTAATTATAGCTGGTGATTTTAATTGCCGGTTAGATACAAAAAATGATAAGATAGAATCTCTTTTAGACTTCATGCAACAAAATAATTTGGCATTGACAAATTTATACCCGTACAACAAAACATATGAATGCCACAATGGTTCAAGTACAATTGATTTAATCTTTCAAGGCCCAGCAATGAGAACTTTCGGTTTTCAAATTTTAGAGAGTTTTGTTAGAAAACATAAAATTGTTAGTGTTAATTTTAAATTCAATCCGGTAAAAATGTCTCAGAAGAATGTAAAATATAAAATTGATGAACAACTAATGGAGGAGATGTTAGATCTAAAATTTAGAGAAATTCTGAGACAAGATTTAGAAAAGAACGATGTGGAAAGTTTTTATCGGAATGTAAAAAACATTTTGGATGCTTCAAATACTGCCCCTAAGAGCTACGAAAGAAAAAGTCAGCCATGGTATAATGCTGAATGTTACAATTTGAAGGACCAACTAATGGAAAGTAAATATGAGTTAGATTTTTGGGAATCATTAAAGTTTCATGGGGTGGAAGACATGTGTAGAAGTTTAAAGGCAAAATTTTTTGAATTAAAAAGAGAATATCGTCAGTTATGTATTCATAGGAAAAAATATTATTTTCAGAGATACGAGGAAAAAATGTTAAGAGAGGCTGAGGAAAATTGTTTTAAAGAAATTTTAAAAAAGAAGCACTTGGAATCAAATGAGTCACTAAACTTGAATAGACTTCTTCTTAATTACGAAGCTCAGAATATTCAATTCACACCGATTATGCAGGAGGAAGTCACTTTAGCCCTGAAAAGAATGAAAAACGGAAAATCACCAGGGCCGGATAATATTCGAAATGAGAATTTAAAATGTCTTTTGCAATTTATCCTACCGGAGGTAACGAAATTTTTGAATCTGTGTTTAAAATATGATATGCCAGCAGATTGGCGTGTCTCAAATTTAAAGCTACTCTATAAGGGCAAGGGGGATTGCGAAAATATGAATAATTATAGAGGGATTAGTTTAAGTCCAGTGTTTTATAATCTTTTAGATAGAGTACTACACAATAGACTTTATTCGAACCTGATTGAATATATTCCAGAGAACCAATACGGATTTGTAAAAGGCAAATCGACGGGTCAAGCTATTCATGCCTTGTTAGAGGATATTAATTTAAAAGTTTACGAGCAGAAATCATCTTTGTATGCCTTGTTTTTAGATTTAAGGAAAGCTTTTGATTCAGTAAATAGAGAGTGCATTTTTAAGAAATTAGTTGATTGTAATAAATTATCATATGTTGAACTATCCTTCTTAGCAAAAGCATTAGATCCGAATTATTTAAAAATTGTGGATGGCGTTTCAGAATCTAATTTATTAACTCAGTCGAATGGAGTGAGGCAAGGTGGCTGCACCTCCCCGCTATTTTTCAATATTTCTATTGCAGATATCCAAAAGCTGGTTAAAAAGTATACAAACATAAAAGCAATTTTTTATGCAGATGATATTGTTTTTACGTGTATTAATTTAGTAGATTTAAAATCACTCCTGGCAGATTTAAAAATGTACCTCATGGAGCGCGGCCTTGAATTAAATGTCGGAAAATGCAAAATTATGAAGTTTAGAAATGGAGGAAAAGGGAGGTTAAAGAAAGGCGATTCTTTGTTGTTTCAAAATGAGGAAATTGAATTTGTTAATGAGTTTACTTATTTAGGAGTAATTTTTCAGCCCTCAGGGGTGACTTTTAAAAAACATATCGAAAAGCGAGTGAGAGCGGCGTTACTCTCAATGTATAGTGTAAAAGAATTGCGGATGCTTTCGATTGACACAGCATTGAAATTATTTGAGCTGAAATTTGCTCCTATGGCCTCGTATGGTATTGAAGCGATTTGGAAGTATTTAAAAAAGGAAGATTTTGTGAAACTGGAATGTGTAAAGAGTAGGTACTTGAAAAAAGTACTAGGTATGTCAAAATACACGAGATCTCGCTTTGTGTATGAGCTTGTCGATACCGATTTATTTATTTCTGATTTAAAAGAAAAATTTGACCTTCCAGTGAACAATGCATTTGAAACTTTTTGTTATGAACAATTGCTGAAGAAATTGAATATTTGTGATGAATTTTATGGTACGGAGACGATGATTAAAGAAAACTGGAAGGCGGCGCAATTTAAGGATAGACATGTTTTCACCAGATACGCGTGTCATGGTTTTCACTTTTTGTTTTGTACGAACAGTACATATCACTGTGAAGCATTGGAAAATTGTATCTGTAAATTTTGTGGTGGAGTTTGTTCACAGTATCATATAATAGATTGTGTAAAAAAGAAAATGAGTCTGCGTGAAGCAGCAAACTGTAAAGCCAAGTGAATTTGGAGGTTATATTGTTAGAGTTAATTTGTGGCACGCCTACGGCGTTCATTTCAATAAATTACATTATTTAAAAATAAAATTAATTAATTTTAATTAAATTAAAGTTTTAAAAAATTTAAGAAATGGGATTAATTTTATAAATAAAATTAATATTAATAGATTAAATTAAACTTCTTCCCAAAAAATTAATAAAAAAATCCAACTGAATTAATCTGACATACCTGCCGATTACGAGTGACTCGCTGCGAGCTGCCAGACTTTCTGGGCTGATTTTGCAGAGTATTTAAGCACCAGTGGCCTCCAGTCATTCAAGGGCACGGAGCAGGAGGCCCTGATAAAGGTTGCCGCCACTTGAAGACTCTGCTGGAGTCTCCGATGCTAAAATCGTCGTGCACCGACCGGCCGCAAATGGGCGGACTGGCCTCTCCTGGCAAAAAAAATGGCCATTGAGATGAAAATAAAACTTGATCAACTTTGAAGCATTGTAAGGTTTCATTAAGAGCCATTTAATAATGTTTAAATCGTCCCAAAAAATTAAAAAAAAATTCCAACTGAATTATTTTTACAAACCAACAAATGGCGAGCGACTCGTTCCGAGCTTCCAGGCTTTCTAGTCGGGACTTCATGGAGTGAATGGGCACCAGGTGCCTCCTCTCATTGAAGGGCAGCATGCAGGACGCCCTGCAGAAGGATGGTGCCACTGAAGACTGTGCTTGACTGTGCTGGTGCTTGACAAGGCTACAACAGTCTTCAGCGGAGATGCATGCACAGGAGGCGGCCTGGCATCGCCTGGAAAATTAAAGGCCATTGAGCAACTTAAGAGAGTCATAGGGTATCAATTAAAACTAATTCTGAATGAATAAATCAGCTGGTTATTTTTAATTTTTTTAAAATTTCCAAAAAATGAAATGTAATTTATAAATAAAATGATTTAAATTTAATTAAATTTTATTTTTATAAAATTTTAAAAAACGGGATTAATTTTATAAATATTTTATATATAAAATTAATATCAATTAGTTAATACAATTAGTTAATGAATTAATATAAATAAAAATAAATTTTTTTATATTTGAGAATTAAAAAAAAAATTATTGTCACCAGCTGGTGAATTCAAGAGCTAAATTAACCAGCGGGTGATGTTTTTTTTATTTATTTTTTAAATTTTTTTAAAATGAAAATAAATATATAAATTATAAATAGAATTAGTTTAATTTAATTAAATTTTAGTTCTTATAATTAAAAAAAAGGGGGAATTTTATAATTATTTTATAAATAAAATAAATTTTAATAAATTAAATTGAAATTTATTTTCATTTGTAAATTTAAAAAAAACAATTTTCACTAGCTGGTGAATCCACCAGCTAAATCCACCAGCTGGTGATGTTTTTTTTTAAATTTATAAAAATTGAAATTTAATTTAAAAATAAAAATAATTATTATTAATTAAATTTTAGTTTTAAAAAATGGGATTAATTTTATAAATAAAATTAATATTAATAAATTAAATTCAACTTTTTTAAATAAGGAATATTAAAAAAAAAAAAAAATATGCACCAGCTGGTGATGTTTTTTTTTTAAATTTTAAAAATCGCAATAAAAATCATAAATAAAACTAATTTAAATAAATAAAATTTTAATTTTTAAAAAATTTAGAATAAAAATTAAATTTATAAATGTTTTATAAATAAAATTAATATTAATAAATTTAATTTAAATTTTAAATAAATTAGGAAATTTTAAAAAAAAAGTTGACACCAGGTGATGCGTTCACCAGCTGGTGATGTTTCTTTTTATTTATTATTATTAAAATTTTTAAAAAAGAAATTTAATTTAAAAATAAAATTGAATTTCAATTTGTTAAAATTTATTTATATGAATTATAAAAAGGATTAATTTTATAAATAAAATAATATTGATAAATTAAATTGAACTATTTTAAATAAGGAAATTTTAAAAAAATCATTGTCACCAGCTGGTGAATTCAGCTATATTCACCAGCTTGTGATGTTTTTTCTTTTTAAATTTTTAAAAATCGAAATATAAATTATAAATAAAATTTATTTAAATTAATAAAATATTAATTTTTAAAAAATTAAAATAAGGGCTTTATTTTATAAATAAAATTAATATTCATAAATTAAATTAAATTAAATTTTTTTTAAATAAAAAAGAAAATTTAAAAAAAAAAATAATTGTCACCAGCTGGTGCATTAACCAGCTGGTGATGTTTCTTTCTATTTTTTAAAATTTTTAAAATAGCAATTTAATTTAAAAATAAAATAGAATTTAAATTAATTAAAATTATCTTTATAAAAAAAAAATGGATTAATTTTATAAATAAAATTAATATTAATGACTTCAATTAAATTTTTAAAAAATATAATTTATTTTATAGTTAAATTATTTTTATTATATTAAATTGTAAATTTAAAAAAAATTAGAAAAAAGGGATAAATTTTATAAATATTTTAGAAATAAAATTAATATTCATTAATTTAATTCTAATTTTTTTAAATTTTTTAAAAAAAATTTGCATCAGCTGGTGAATTCAATTGGTGAATTCACCAGCTAAATTCACCAGCTGGTGATGTTTTTTTTTATTATACTAAAATTTTTAGAAAAAGAAATATAATTTATAAATAAAATTAGTGTAAATATATTAAAATTAATTTTTTAAAAATTAAAAAAGGGATTAATTTTATAATTATTTTATAAAGAAAATTAATTTTAATAAATTAAATTGAAATTTTTTCATTTTTAAATTAAAAAAAAACAATTGTCACTAGCTGGTGAATCCACCAGCTAAATCCACTAGCTGGTGATTCAATTTCAATTCAATTCAATTTTATTGTTGTTCTGTTAGACAAGAATATAAACAGTAGTCTTTAGAACATGTCAGGTCTAAAATTAAATGCTAATTTTAGTCAAAAAAGGCCTCAAATTTAATTGCAAGAAACTATTTCCAACTTCTATTGAATTTAGATTTGAAACTTGTGGAGTTGAATTGAAGGTTGCAAATCGAATTATTACGCTTTTGACGGTGTACCGACCGAGTAATCCTGAAAACAGAGATATTGAGTTCTTCATTGAAAATTTGGAAAATCTTATTGAGAAGTTTATAAGTCCAGAGAAAGAAATGTTACTAGTTGGTGATTTGAATGTTGATCTTAACTCAGACAATGCTGATAAAATGAAATTACTGAACTTAATGGATGGCTATGAAATGTCACTGGTAAATGGAATCGAAGCTACCCGGGTTACAAGCACATCAGCAACTTTGATTGATCATGTATTTAGTTCCTTAAAGTGCTCGCATACTTCTTTTGTCAGTGATGTATTTTTTAGCGACCATAGAATGGTGTCTGTTAATTTTCAAATTCCAATTGAACTCGATAGAGATTATTACAAAATTATCAGGAGATTCTCTGATAGTAACTGGACTGAATTTTTCCACCTCTTAAGTACAGAAAGTTGGACCGAAGTTTATGAAAGTAATAATATTGATGATATGTGCTGTAAATTCATGGATAAGCTTACTATGTACTTTGAAATGAGTTTCCCAAAGGAGTAAATATTAATTAGAGTAAATAGGAAAAATAATGCCGATTCTGAGTTTCTTCGTAAGCAAAAGGAAGAATTAAGGCTCTTGGGTGCCCAAATATCTATACTGAAAAGGAATGATCCTAACTGTGACAGATTAAGAAGTCTTAAATTCAAATATAAAAGTAAACAAAAGTACGTTGGCTTTCTCATAAATGATGCAGTCCGAACTCACAATGACCAGAAAATGTTAAAAGCCTCTAATAAGACTGGTATGGCCTGGAAAATTATTAACGAAACTTGCAACTTGAACCAAGATAAACACGAAAATGATATTAAGCAAATTGAAATTGATGGTGAAGGTGGTGCGCATGCGCCAGACGGACAAGTAACCTCGTCTGTTGTTCCGACTTTTGAGCGTCCTGGCGAGGCCTGGGCAGTGAGTGGACTTCTCTTGTGTGTTCGGTCGGGTTGCTGAGCGTCCCAAGCCCGTTTGTGGCCTAAAGGCGTGATTTTTACCCCCGTACTTGCCGAGAAATTGGACTTGCCGAAATGCCGGCTTACCGCTCTTATGTTAAGCCGCCACTCGCGGTGAGTCGTCCTTCCGGCGACCTTGCGCGCATCTGTTGGACGCTGACCGAAGTCCTGCGAGAACTTCAGGCCTTTTCATTTCGAGAAGAGTCCCCGGAAGTCAGTCTGATAGCAAAAATGGACCGAGAGTATCAACTTTTCCTTGCCAGAGAAAAGGAGGCGTGGCTCCAGTACAAAACACCACTACGGCCACCGACAACAAAGGTAATAATGTTACCTGGGGCGAACCTTTTCGTCGAATCACCACCCTCGATGTCCATCGGCCACTGCGTTGCCGAGGATTTTGAAATGTCGGCCGGACTGGCAGTTGATTTCCGCGAGTTATTCGGGAATATGGATTACCTTCTGTCTTTAAACCTTAAAGTCGGACAGGTTGCCGTCCTTCCAGTACAGCAGAACGACGGCACGTTCAGGTACGCTCTTTACATTATCACCAAAGAGAAGTCGAGAGGGACCCGCCCAACTCGTGAAAACTTCGAGGCTGCCATCGTCTCTCTTCGGGAAGTCTGCAAGGCACTCGGAATCAAGAAACTGGGACTGCCGAAAATTGGAGCTGGGCTTGACAAATTGCCCTGGGACTTCTGCCTGGACGTCCTTGAACGGGTTTTTGAAGTGTCGACTACGGAAATTTACATCTTTGAAGGGACAACCGACTTTAAGAAAAGACAGTTCCGAAGAACAACTTGCTCTCCGGCACTTGACAGCGTCGAGGAATTCCCCCTTCTTCCTGAAATCTCCCCAACTGTGAGCAGGCCTTCGGCAGGAGTTGCAGGACAAAATTTGACTGAGAATAAATTGAATGAAAATTTAAATTGCTTCTCTTTTTCAGCTGCGCCGCCGAGCCACTCACAAAGCAAAAAGAAGTCGCCTGCTCGCCGATGGGAGACGGACGTGGAGAAATTTGATGCTCGACAGGTGATGGTGGCGAGGCCCGCAGCTGACCCCGGGCCTGGTGGTGCCCCATTAAAAGCTGCCAAAACTACAGCAGGATCAGGTGGACCAGCTGGGCGCACACCGGAGACCTGTATTAAAGCTGGGGTGCCCTCCCGTGCGTCTGGCCCCACCTCATCATCAGCTAAAAAAGGTGACAAACACAAGTTAGAATATCAGACAACCTACCCTGAGAAGGCCCAACTTTCTGATCCGAAGGCCAAGAGGTCCACCGGCATAATACCGAAGGTGAGAGGGTCACAGACGAACCCAGCAAGGAGCCGACTGAGCCAGGGAAAAACGCAGGAGCGCACCAAGAGGCCTGACAGCGCCCTTAAGTCTGTCAATGCTACAGCCGCCTCACCAAAGGGTGGAGCAGCCGGACGAGGCGCGGACGCCTGCGAGTTGGCTGGGGCAAAAAATCCGTCCTCGTCCAGCTCCACCCCGGCGCCACCAAAAACAGGTGAGGCTGTTACTTTGAAACCTCCTAAGGCCTTGGCCAAAGGAGAACTTGCTGCTGGCCCTGAGGAGAAAATCGTTTCCAGCCGCCTGACCTCCCTGGAAGTCCTGACGAAACCTGAGGTGAAGGACGTCCCCAGGGGCCAAAGCCTGGCTGATTTCTTTGCCAACTTGGAACGAGGGAATGAGAATCTTCAGGAAGGCTCTGTCGGTGGGGGTAGCCTGCCCCCGCTGCCCCCGCCTGGTTCACTCCAAAAACCCCCCCG